CTGTTTCTTGATCTCAAAAAAGCATTTGACACTGTGGACCACAACATACTCATTTCAAAATTAGAGCTTTACGGAGTACGAGGGAAAGCATTACAATGGTTTATTTCATATCTGAGAGGGAGAAAGCAAATTTGCAAAATTAATCACGAAATATCAGATAGAGCTACAATTACTTGCGGAGTCCCTCAGGGTTCAAATCTAGGACCACTGCTTTTCTTACTTTACATCAATGACTTACCAAATTGCTTAAGGTCTACAAAAGCATCAATGTTTGCAGATGACACTAATATATCCTGTGACGGAAAATTAGCAACTGACATTCAACAAAAAATTAACTCAGACTTGAACAGTGTTCATAATTGGCTGTTAGCTAACAAACTAACTTTAAGTGCTGAGAAAACAGAATATATGGTTGTTGGTTCGAGACAAAGGCTTAATCAAATAAATTCAGATCCTGACATATTAATAGGAGATCATATGATAAAGAGAGTTTCTAACAAAAAATTCCTAGGAGTGGTTCTTGACGAACAACTTAATTGGCATAACCATATAGATAATCAATGTGCAAAAATTTCAAAAAACATTGCACTTTTGAGAAGAGAAAAAAGTTTTCTGACAGAAAATGCCCTTATTACAATGTACAATTCACTAGTCCTACCACATTTCACTTACTGCTCAACAGTTTGGCACAACGGAAATATCACCCACATTGACAAATTAAGTAAATTACAAAAAAGAGCAGCACGTGTTATCACTAACTCAGGGTATGAAATAAGATCAACAGAGATCTTAAATAGATTGAATTGGGAGCCCATTGCAAATATCCTCGAACAACGTGAACAAACAATGACATTTAAAGCAATTAACAAAATGACACCAAAATATTTAACAGAAATGTTTACTATGTCCCAGAACGATAATTATGCATTGAGAAGTAGCGAACGAAAACTTCACTTATCAAAACCAAACACTAACTTCCTTAAGAAAAGTTTTTCCTACCGCGCAGCAGTGTCATGGAATAAACTTCCAAACGAAATTCTCGAGGAACATGAGCATCTTTCATTGAATCAGTTCAAAAGGCTTATTAAAATTGCTAAGATAGCGAAATTTTCCCGAAATTTTATCGAATGTTTACTTGCATTGTAAGGTCGTTTGCATGTTATACTTCAATTTGAATTAATGTTAGTGTGTTATACTTTAGGTTTAGATTTAGTTTTATATCTTTTTAATAGTTTTAGACCACGGCCCTTTGAAAAACAGGCAACTGAAAGGTTACCGTGGATAAATATGTTTAAATAATAATAATAACCCACAAATTTTAAGACAGCTAGAAAAACATAGTTTCAGGCAAGCATGTGGGCGCGCTGATCGTATTTTGCGCCCTTGTGGTCAAGGTGGCGTGAAATTTATTGTAAGAATAAGCGAAAACTATACCCTGTGCCATGCAAATTTAAATACAACTATTAAAGGTTTATGTTTTATAATATTTCATAGCAGTTAAATTCTATAATGTTATTAAATGACTATGATTATTAAAAGTTTAATTAACGTTTACAGTCGATTTCACGAAACTTTCACCACAAATTTTCCGAACTTCGTTGCGAAGTTCACAACATTGTTGCGAAGTTCAAAAGTTCGATCATAATGAGATTCACAAACCAGTTCGTAAACTACGCATTTGATTGGCTTCTTTTACTTCATTGACCAATCAGGGACTTTGTTTACAAATTAGCTTGTGAATTCCAATATGAGCTTCCGAACTTCGCAATGAACTTCGCAACGAAGTTCGGAACATTTGTGGTCAAAGTTTTGTGAAAGCGACTGTAAAATCGTCCCCGGAGTGGGGCATTTTCCACTCTCAGCTTGCCCAGGGGCCGTGCATTAGTCTTCAAGTTGTGTCCCGGCACCCGGGCATTTACACTATCATAACCGATCAAATCAAATGCCCGGGTGTGTTCCCGGGGGGGGGGGCGGATGGTTACTCCTGGAATTGACTCATGCATAAACGCCGGAAGTTTTATTGGATTGGGATAAAACGCGGATTGCGGAAGCGGATTCCGGAGCGGATTCCGCAAATGAGGATAAAACGCGGATTCCGTTTACTTATAAAATAACCAAATAAATAAAGCAACAGAATTTACTGTTCCGCAAGTTTTAGTATGCAATTGTTAACTTATTTGTAAAATATTTAAAAATAAAAGGATTCAAAATTTTTCGTGCGTGTACGTGCGTACGAAAAACGCAACAGTGGAAATCAGCATTTAGATCTTAACAGTAATGTGCGTCCGTTGTATAGCCCCAGCGAGTTAACGCTCCATAGAGCGTCTTGTCTAATATGTCTTGAAATTTTTCAAACAGATGATTTGAAAAGTTTGGAGATCTGGACCATGTAGAGACAAGAAACGGCTTCAATGTGGGCTTGGAGATTTGAACACAGAGATACTCAAGATCTTCATCCTTGATATCGTTTCAAATTGTGTGTCCAATTGAACTTCGGATGTACATAGCTACTCCACCTCCTTGTCTAGATCGGTATCTTTTGATGATGTCGTATTTATCAATGGAAATTTCAGAGTCGCTTATAGTATCATCAAGACGAGTTTCATTTAGTATGAGTATGTCTAAGTATTGATTTATCATGTTTAGTCTAAGTCCGTCTAGATGCTTCGGTAAATTTGCAATGTTGAGAGATGCAATTTTGAAACCTCGGGTTTTAGGAAGATTAAAATATCTTTGTTTACGCAAACTAGTGTCACGGTTTTTTGAGGTCTCACGAAGGTGACGAAGTGGATTAGACATACCCGTAATTAGCAATCAATTATTAATAATATAATTTGAAATTGATTTAGCAAGAATTGAGGTACCCTTTTTGCAGTCCTCTTGCATTCAGGCATGTAGAATCAATAGTCTTGTGTCTGAGACAGCTCCAGTTGTTTTGTGTACAACATTTTCCGATAAGGTCATTGACTTGATTTGCTTTCTCTTGCAAGTTAGGCTTGTCGGTTCGGGGGAGAATTCCTGAGATTGTTATGTTTGAAGACGAAGAATCCTGGCTTATTTGAATTCCCAAATTAACAATTCCCTCAGCAAATTGACGAGTGGTTAGGGACTTATATAAATCATTCGTTCCCACATGCAAAATTAGGTTAGCTGGTTCTTTACGAATTATGGGTTTTAAATACAGTAGTCTTCCATATCAGAAATATTAGCACCACCAAAGCTTTTCATTACTACATGGTTATTACTGTCAGAAAGTCGCCACCCTTGCACATTCTTTATAATTGAATCGCCAATAACAGCGGCAACTTTTTTCCTGCGTGGCGAACTATTATCGCTCTGGCGACTATTTTCTGTTGATACTCGCGGGAGCGATTGAGCCTTTTCATTTTCGTCTGTGTCGAGGTTCTGAGGGGTTTTCTTTCCCCTCGCAGACTTTCTCGCTTTATTTTTTTTTACTAAGTTTAGTCTCGTCATCGGGAATAAGAATAGTTTCATTGTTCTGGCTAGTGTGGGACTCGACAGAAGCCAAGGAATATTTGACATATGAACAGTTATTGTCTGTTGAGGCAGCCACTTCTTGTTTGTTAAAATAATGCTCATGGGAGCATTGCTAATCAAGGATGTTGTTAAGCACGCTTTTTCATTCTCAAGTTCTTTTACTTTCGTGTTTAAGTCAGATAAAGCAAATTTGGATATTGCAAGACTGTCCTTTAAGGCTCGAATTTCATCCTTGAGACTTGTGTTTTCATGCCGTAAACTATTCACATATTCAGTACTATTGTCTAGACACTATTTCTTTAGATTGTTCAGATCATTAGTCAAGCTTAATGTTTTATCCAGAAATTTGACTTCAGCCTCAATATTGCTGAGTTTGTCTTTAATAAATTTATGTTCGGTGCTAGACGATCAAAATAAAATTACAGCCGGTGTTTTTGTAGATCTGTCTAAAGCATTTGACACACTAAATCACCAAATATTGTTTTCTAAGCTTGAACGTTATGGCATTCGTGGTGTGGCGTTACAGTGGATTAAAAGCTATTTTGAAAACCGTGAACAATTTGTACAGCATGATGTTTCCTCTTCCAAACAGATTATTCAATGTGGCGTTCCTCAAGGTTCCATATTAGGACCACTCTTTTTCATTCTATATATTAATGACCTTCCGAATGCCTTGCGATTAGCGGAACCATTATTATTTGCAGATGATACAAGTATTTACTACTCACATTCTGATCCACTTGTGTTAGCTACTGTCTTAAATCAAGAATTGAGTAGTATTAGCTTGTGGATGAAGGCGAATAAATTGTCAGTTAATACCAAGAAAACAAACTACGTTATTTTTAAACCAAAACAAAAGAAATTAAAAACTATTATGATACCGCTCATGTTTAATGAAAATAAGTTTACGCAAAAACGAGTGGTCAAGTTCCTTGGAGTTTTTATAGATGAAAATCTTTCATGGAAATTTCATATTGATCACATCTGAAAAAAAGTCTCAAAATCCACCGGCATAATCTATAGATCACGTTTTCTATTGTCTATGAAAACTAAATTATCCCTATATTATACCTTGATCTACCCATATCTGACCTACTGCCGTCATTTGGTCTTCTACCTATGTCACAAATGTAAAAAGATTATTTTTAATCCAAAAACGACTTGTTAGAGCTTTGACAAACGCTGACTTTACAGCACATACTGCACCACTGTTTTATCGGCTGAATCTGCTTGATATTTATAAAATTAATTTCTTATACATTGTTAAATTCATGTATTGCTATCATTATAATTTACTTCCATCTTCATTTCATAATATTTTCATTACTAGTCGCCACATGCACTCTTACAACACTAGAAATGCAAATGCATATCGACCTCATACATGTCGTACAAACATAAAGAAGTTTACTATTTTGTTCCAAGGACCCCAAAAATGGAATTCCCCTCCGGAAAACATTAAAAATTCAGAGACTTTAAGTTGCTTCAGGAATAGAATGTTAAAATATCTAATATAGCCATCATTTATATTATGAAACTGGTAAAATAATTTCATATGCTCTAAACGTCTGATTCCCCTTTGTGTTTATATATGTTGTGCTCATTTAAAAGGGAGCCTAAACTTCTATAAGCCTTGTGGTTTCGTCTTAGGCTTCCTTGTCACCAACATGATGACTGAACAAAATTTATTTATCGAACTATACTTATTTATATAACTTATCTATCTTATTTAAATATCTAACTATTATATAACAGTTCTATAATATTTATATATACAGTATATGCATGTAATTTACAATCTTTTTATTTTTTTTTTTTTTTTGTAATGTTGGTGTCAAATCAAATTAAATTCATTCATTCATTCATATAGGTATAGTGAGATTGGTTTTGTTAAGCATACCTGTAACAACAATTTCGACGAGTCAACACCGCATTCATCAACGTTGATTGAGTCTATGGCCGCCACTTCACACATCGATGTAAGCTGCTCGGTTACATCTTTCACCTCAATGGAACTACCAGAAACCGTAATCCATTTACTTGTTTTACCCTGCCACTTTAGATCTTTAGGCACACCAAACCGCTTGTGAATAGCTTGGTTTCACCGCCAGGCGATTTCCATTTCACCAACAGTTTTAATTCGTCTGAGACGAATTTCTTCATGTGATCTAACGTACCATCCCAGATAAACTTCTCTCCATTAGCCTTTAAGTTTAACATAAAACTTCTGCCATAATCTCAATAGTTTAATCGTTGAATTTCCGAATTTAGGCGCAGCTCAACCTCGCACGTCCGCTTGCTATGACCCTAACTTCGCACGTCTGCTCGCTATGACACTAACTGAAGATTTATCCTAACATATTATCTGTCCTCGAGATCATCGATCTCCACCAATATGGCGCTATCCCAAAATCATCTACTACGCATGGTCTTATCTCCATCATTCATACTTTGACTTCTGCCACTGACGGGACGAGTACAGCGGTGAGGTTCGTGTTGCTAGACTACAGGAAAGCATATGATCTCATCGACTACCGGATCCTAGTTAAAAGATCCTTTCCCTGAACGTTCCACGCGGTGCATGTAGTTCGCTGGGTATGCGACTTTTTGTCGAATTGGCTGCAACGCGTCAAGCTGTCTAACGACTGCTTCTCTGAATGGGGTGCAGTTCCATCTCGAGTTCCACAGGGTTCGAAATTAGGACCTTGGTTATTTCTTTTGATGATTAACGACTTTAAACAATCCCCCCCCCTGCTCACCCACGCCAAGAAAAATTGAAATGTCGATAAGGTGGGCAAATTTTGAACGTCAGTCTGGCAAATGTTGAACGTAAGTTGGAAAAAGTGGGGTAAAATAAACTGAAAAACAAGAAATATGTACGACGATAGTAAAAAATGCATGAAAATAGGGCAATGTGGCGAAACATTTTAGCTTTTCGAAAGTTTCCGAAGTTTATCAGCGAATTTGATTGGTTGGGCAAAATGCAAAAGTCGGGAAAATTTCGTTCTGCCCCCTCCCCTATTTTTCCGTTCCCTTACGCCTATGCAAGGGTACTCGTTGAAGTATGCAGACGACACGACATTATAATTAGCCGTGGTTGTCCCAAGAAATAGCCAAAGTCAAATGCAAAGTGTAGTGTCTGATGTAGAGAAATGGAGTAAAAACAACAAGCTCCCCAGTTGAACGAAGACAAGAGTAAGGAAATGATAGTTGACTTTTGGAAAGTGAAACATCAGTTAAGACTATCATCAATTCCAAAGAACTCGAGCTAGTCAGCAGTGCCAAGATATTGGGTGTGATGGTGTCTAACTCACTGGAATGGATTGACCATGTCAACTATGTCGTGAAGAAGGCTAACAAACGTTTGTATTTCCTAATTTTGCTTAGACGTGCAAGCGTTCTACCTGCCCCTATCCTAAAATTTTATCGCCCCTGCATCAGACCGGTCCTTGAGTATTGTGCACCTGAATTTCACCACTAATAAATGTTTATGTAACGATCTTGAACGCATTCAAAAGCGAGTGCTTTCAATTATATCTCTTGGGTCTTATTATACGAACAATCTTAACACGCATAACTATATTAGTTATCTCAAAGGCAGGCGTCAGAAAATACTGTATGTGAAAGAATTTTCAAGACAATAGTATCCAGACCTATCCAACTCGGACCACAAGCTTTATCAACTGCTGCCACCCAAACACAATCTGACTTACAACCTGAGGAGAGAACGTGCATTTGATTGTCCTACAATACGAACCAATCGTTTTAGAAACTCTTGTATTTTAGCAATGTCAAATAATTTAAAGAAATAGGTTTGCTATGAATTGTTTTCATAATTAACACATCTTGATCGGGTAGGTATGTTGGGTATTGCCCTTGAAGTCTGCCCCGACATTCGTATACACTGTCATTGTTTCTTTGAAGGTTTAACCGTAACCGATCATCATGAAAGGTGTTGGTTGCTTCATTCCTTCCTTGAACTCTTTTTACCCAAAATGCTAGCTGCTTTTGAATTTCTTCTGACGTAATAGGACCCACTGTCTTCTCTCGATCATGGACTTTAGCATTAGACACAAACCGCGCCACCCATGCTCCAATTCGCAGCGTTTTCCAAAGCTCAAATTTCCCGAGAAGATCGACAGACGTATCATTTCCTGTCGCGGCTAATGCGAATACTTCACGAGTTAATTTGGTTTCAGCTTTCGATTCATCGGTTTCATCAGTTCTCTTTCGCTCCAAGCCAGTCGGGTCCGCGTTGCCATAACTGCTTATCGTTGGATCCCAAACCTGCCCGACTTCCAATATCAGCTGGATTTTGATCCGTTGGTACGTGCCTCCACTTGATGTAACTTTTCTCACAGATCTTCCGCACGCGATTTTGTACGAACTGTTTGTACTGCCCTTTCCCTTCGATCCAGTACAAAGGCGCCCGTGCTATCTAGCCATCCTGTGACTTCGCTGACAGGAAACCCTTCTAAGGCTGTTTTCACATTGTCAACTAGGTTTGTCGCCATGTGACCAGATACTATTAACTCCGTCATTGGTATGGACAGTCCTTGTTTTGATAAACGTGATTTTGCTGCAACCAATCCCTGCGTGTCTCCAGAAGGTTGCCTCACCACAGCATAGACGGCTGCTGCCACTCCTTTGTTACTTGCATCTCCGTGCATGCAGACAAATTTCTTGGATATCTTTTCGATTTCCTACAAGACTCCTAGGAACTTCAACACTGTCCGGCAGTTCGTTCTCCACTTTCCCCATCGTTTTGCCAACGATTCATTCAGCGGTGCATCCCATCCTAACTTGTGGTCACAGGCTTCGCGGTACAACAGCTTGCCGGCTAATGTCCTTGGAGACACTAGTCCTAAAGGTTCATATACTCTATCTATTTTGAATAGTATGCCTCTTTTAGACAATTCAGCTTTCTCTGACGGAAGGAAATGCTTATCGTGTCCTTATCTCGTTCTAGTCAAGACCAAAGAGTTCACCATTCTCTTTAGTTGGAATCCCGAGTTGTTCCTTTGCGTTTGACTGCCACTAATGCAGATCGAATGTGGCATCCTGACAGATTTCAGTAGCCTTGTCTTTTAACTGTGATGCTTTCTCGGTTGTAGTAGCTCCACTAACAAGGTCATCAATGTAAAGACGTTTGTCAATCTCATCGATCACACCAGGGTGCTTCGGGTGCCAACTTTCTAAGTGCTGTTGAATAACTTCCCCCAGGAGGAATGGATATGATGTCAATCCAAAGAGGGCTCTTGTAAATCGCAGAGTTTGTATTTCATCCATGTTGATATCTTTCAGCCAATGGAATCGGAGGACATCTCGATTACCACTACTAATTCTCACTTGTAGGAACGCTTTACGCAAGTCTTCACCAAGGCAAACAGGGTGAAATCTTCCCCGAACTAGCACAGACCACAATTTATTCTGCAGAGGAGGACCGACTTCGAGACAGTCATTAAGTGATGGTGACTCTTTCGATGGTCGTGCCGAGGCATCATAAACGACCCGTAATTTGGTACTTTCTGCAGTCTCACGAAATACTCCCCTATGTGATATATAGAATTCTCTTCCTTCAGGACTTTCTGGTAGAGGCTCCACCACTCCTTAATTCAACTGCTCTCTATAACATTATCATATTCTTCCAATTTCCCACTGGGTTTGAGCTTACTCACCAATGTCCGTAGTCGTCGTTGACTGTTGACCTCATTCGTACCAATTGGAAAATAGCTTCCCTTCCAGGGGAGGCCAGATTCATACCAGCCTTCTGGACTTCTGTATAATTATTCTTCAAATTCTTCACATACCGCTTCTAGATCTCCAACTGGGGTGTCAGCTAGACCTAGGACATCCATTCGACAAAGTTCCTCGTATTCCACCGAAGATGTTTGGGTCAGGAATATTTGAGATAAATCGACATCTTGTCCAAGTGATACTAGGTTCCAGCCAAATTTGGTTAGTTCAGCCACTGGTTCTCCCGGTACACCAACTTTCTGTCTCGAGCTTGTCTTAATTTTCGCCTGTCCCCCCCCCAAAAAAAAAAAAATGAGATGAATTGGGAGCTGTTGTTTCGGATCATCATCCTCAATCACTACCCCGTCCAAATGCTGGTATTTCTCCAAAACTTCATCATAACGTGGATTTGGTAACAACAACATTTTCTGTTTAGCAGTCTTTGTAACATCTGCTTCTAGACTAAAATCACCGTTCACCGATTGAATACCAATATGGAAAATGTCCACTTTCTTTGTAGTAGTCCCAAGTAGCATTTCAATGTCGCGAATATCTGATTTGGTTGGTTCAGCTTTGATATGGTTTAGCAAACCTGCTGAGGCGTATGAGCTTCCTGCCCCTGTGTCCACCAGGGCTCGGTATTTAGCCCCCTGAACTTCGACAATAACTAACTGGATAAACAACTGCAGCATTCGTATGGTGTGTGGTCAACAAAGGGTTTGATACTTTATTGCAAATGGATGTGTGGTGTCTTCTGCCACAGCTTGCACAGGTTGCCTTAACTCTTACGATCCACTGCTAAATGTTTAGAACCTGTACAATTGAAACACAGGTGCTTCTCTCGCAGAACTTTCCTTCTGTCCGCTAACGAGACAATCGTGTCACAATCCTTTGATCGATGCTCTCCATTTTCGCAGTAAACACACGCACTTTTTACTTCACTTTGCCTTGCCTGAAATGCTCGGTCGCGTTGCCCAGTTTGTTTCCTTCCCCGATAAGTAAACTTGCCATCATTTTTATTATCATGATCTTTGATTTGTACAGGGTTTCTCTCATTCCATTTTCTCAAGGCTTCGACTAATTTTGGGAAGTCCCATTCTTGCCAATTATCATCATTCCGCACCAGGTCGCCCCAGATCCCTTCCAACTTATCGAGTGTAGTGCGAACGTACCCAGTAATTTCTTTCAGTTTCCCTAGTGTCTCGAGTGATTGTACATTATACACCAGAGATTCATAAAATTCGTGCACTTTCCTTGACTTCCAGTGATCACGGGTAGCCCCATAATTTTTTTTCATGTAGACATGCACTATTTCGCAGGGTCTACCATATTTGGTCTTAAGGATTGTTTTAGCACGTTCGTCTCCCTCGGTCGAAAATGGGAGACCGTCTATACAGCTCCTTACCTTCGACTCCACCGATTCCTTTAAACATGAAAATTTGTAATAGCAGCCGCTTTCGATTTATCTATTTCTGCTTCGAATTGGTTCCAAAACCTAGGCCAGTCTTGGTGTGTGCCGTTGAATTTCGTGATCACTAACTTTGGGAGCTTCGCTGCACTGCTAACTGCACTGGTACTATTCTCGGGTGATGACGTCATGGAAGTTTCCTTTATCTCGCTCATCTTTGTTTCAAATTCTAGCTTTTGTTCGAATTGTTTACGCTCAAATGCTAATTGTTCTTGTCGCGTTAGAAATGCCAGTTCGTTTTCCTCTTCCTGTTGTTGTGCTTTCTCTCGGAGAACTAAATCCGCTATAAACTTGTTTAAATTTTTTCGTCGACTTCTTCCAATTGCTCTACTACCGGCTTTCCCCAACTTTCGACATTTTCGTCGCTGTCACAATTTGTAAATTTCGCTTCCTCAATATCTCCTTTTAACTTTTGAATAGCAACTAACATCGAGTTCAACGCATCGCGATGAAGCTCGAGCGCTGTTTTGTTTCCTTTTTCCACAATATCGTCGGTTTTGCTTCACGTAAAACGTAAGGCTTTCACCTTGCCGGCCAATAAGCTGTCCATTTTTGTTCGATATATTTGCCGCGTTTCTCGCCGAAACTACGAATTTCTATCCCGTCGGAGGTGCCGCTGTGTGGGCAATGTTGTTCGATGTCCCCCCACGATCACAATAAATCACAAGTCACAAACCAAAAATAATGTTTTAATTCTCCCAAATCTCAAAAAGGTCGCTCACAAAAGAAAACACGATGCAGAGCTCTTCCTGGAACTAATTCGTACCATTCACTTCCGGTACAGGTTTGTCCAGATATTTTTGACAACCCTATGTGTCAGCAGTTTCCATGAGTCTTTCTTTGTGTGTAATCCGGAAACAATATTGGGCATTTTGATTAGCTTTTTCCCCTTTAAATGTAGCTTTTATTACTTAAAAACGGCCCTTGACTCTGGCGCCCGCCCCTTCGCCGCTTGTTGTTACTAGTATAGGCTATCACTAATAGCCTACTAGTAGCTAGACTGCGAGCAATCCCTAATAAATAGAGGGATTGCCGCTTTAACTAATTGTCAAGCGTGTTTGATTAAGCTCCGCCTACTTGTTTATATTTCAAAACAGGGTCAAAAACATCTCTTGAAAGGCGCGATCTCGAATGACTC